AAAGTGTTGAAGAGCAAAGATGTCAGCTTCAGGACTAAGGTGCACCTGACCCAAGCCATGGTATTTTCAATAACCTCATATGCATGTGAAAGCTGGATAGTGAATAAGGAAGACCATAGAGAATTGATGCTTTTGAATTATGGTGTTGGAGGAGAATATTCAGTGGGCTGCCAAAAGAACCAATAAATCGTTTTGGAAGAAGTGCAGCCAGAGTGCTCCTTGGAGGCCAGGATGGCTAAACTTCATCTCTAATACTTCTGACATATTGTCAGGAGGGAACAGTCACTGGAAAAGGATATCATGTTTGATAAGGTGGAGGGTCAGAGAAAAAAAGGAAGACCCCCAATGAGATGGATTGGCCACGTGGCAGCATCAATGGACTCAAGTGTGGCAACAGTAGTGAGGTTGGCCCAGGATCGGGCAATGTTTCATTCTGCTGTGCATAAGGTTGCTATGGGTTGGTACTGACTTGATGGCCCCTAACAACAACACCACCACCTGCTCAGTGTGAATTAGATCTTACAGGTAAGGCAGGTTGCTGGCACATGGCAAACAATTAGTGAATGCTGCTGTTGCGTGGTTATCATTGCTGACATTAAAGTGAACTCTGCTGAACCCCTTAGCCTCTGTCCCCTAGAATCAGTCCTGGATTGTTCTGGATTCTTTCCTTTCCATACTTGATAGACCAAATGCTAACTTTGCTGCTAACTGAAAGTTTGGAGCTTTGCGTCCACCTGAGGTGCCTCAAAAGAAGGGCCCGGCAATCCATTTCAGCAAAATCAGCCACTGAAACCCCTGTGGAGTGGAGTCTTACACATATGGGACATCATGAGTGCAAGTTGACTTGACAGTAATTGGTTATTTTACTTCCTTTCTATTCTAACAGGAAGTGAAGCTTTGGACACTAGTTTTGGAATAAAACACTATTTTTGCTCTCACTCAGTGACCCTTGTACCTCTTAAGAGTTGGGGAAAGGTATCGTGGTCAGAAACCGCACCTGGCACATCACCTTGGTAGATTGTCAAAATGGCCACGGATTCTTCCCCTCCCTGCATGTACGCACTTGCAATGTGATGTTGTAGCCCCTTCCATCAAGAGATGGGCGTCTATTTCTCCATCTCTTGAGTTTGACACTGAAAAGCAGTTTTTAATTCCTGCTGAGCTGTCCTTCCTGCTGCTAGGAACTCAAATGACCATCACATGAATGAGCCTGAGCTAGCCTGTTGGATGATGCAGGGGAACTGAGGCACCCCAACCAATAGCCGGGCAGTCCCCAGGAGCCTAGTCAACTAGCTGACCTGCAGGGACTGAAGATACGTAAGGGAGTCCAGTTGAGACCAGAACTGCCCAATTAAACTACATACAATTGTGTAATAGTAACTGGTAGGGTTTTTTT